TGTGTGCTTTTAAGGTAACCCAGATGAAGGTGTGAAGGGGAGAAAGAAATGGGTTTTGCATTTAAAGGTGAACATCCCTAGTTTGTACTTTCCAAAACACAGAAATGTGGATAACAGAACTTATGTAGGACTTGAAAAAATGAGAAACTGAGACAAGCTAAAGTTGGCCAATTTGTCCATCCCTACCTAGGACCCTGATTTTGTGTTATCATCTCTAAACTGCATCACCCAAACCTTACAATTCTGCACTATATAGAAGTTGAGATGCAATCTTGCCAGTATATAACCTGATTGTGTGGACCACTAGGTTTCCTCCCATTTCTAGAAAAATTCAGAACAGCCTGTAGAATAAATAAATAAAGAGGAAGAGTTCCAACAGTGATTTCTGTTTCACTTGCTCAAAATAATTATTGGAATTATTTTGGTAATCAAGCCCATCCTCACTCATCTCAATAATAAACATGGGTTTAATCAGGATCAAGAGACTTCTGTCTTTACTGGTATTCAAAAGTTTGACCTAAAGTGGCTGTATTTATTAAGCCAAATACTGCCTTAAGTACACAAATGCTGCAGAAGATAGCATGTAAAGCATGTGGCTCAGTTACTGAACTGTGTCCCTTCTCCCAAATCTGGCACAGTTGTTCATTCTTTAATGATTGTGCCACAGCTGTACTCTTCTCCCTGTAAGAAGCCAGGAGATGGCCCAAAATCTTCAGGAAATGAGTTTCCACCTTCTATTAGTTCCAGTGGGACTATGATCTAGATTCACAGAGCAACGTTAATCTAAAATAAAAGGCTATGAAATAACACACGGGTTAGTCTTCCAATACTTGAAAAAGCTTATGATTTTTATTTTCACCATAATATAAGTCCCATCTCAACTCTCAGCCTAGATTACTATCTTTACAGGAAGAGAGACATCAAATGTGGGATAACAACAGAGTTTTATAAGGTTTGTTCTCGCACAAGAGATACAGTAACTATAGCTGTAGAGGAAAGTACTGTACCATTATTTCCTTAAAAACAGCAACTTTTGGAGATTTGAGCACAAGTACACTACAATATAAGAACACACAATATGACTACATTGCACTTGGACAGCCAAGCTGAAGGACAGCACCCTCTGGCCAAGGACCACTGGGAGGCTGCTCTCCCCGTTTCCCTGAAAGAACAACATGGTAAACTGGAGATCCAAACTTGGCTTAGTAGCAAGTGGACAAACAGAGCAAATTTAGAGCAGATGTTATCTGATGATAGGGTCTCACTTGTGTCATCAACTGTGCTGCTATACTCTAAACAATGTTCAGATCAAGCAAAAATGACATTGCAGTAGTCCATTATTGAAGTCACCAATGCCTGGGCTATGGTAGTCAAGCTCTCCTGGTCCAGCAACAGCCATAGTTGTTGCACCAGCTGTAGCTGGTAAATGGTGCTTCTAGAAAACACTGTGGATACCTGGATACCTCCAGTGACAGAGCTGCATCCAGAAGCCTCTTCAAACCACATACCTGCTTCCTTCAAGGGGAGTGCAACCCAATCCAGGCCAGGCAACTGATCAATTTCTTTGACATGGGAACAACTCAACTTTCACCCTCCCTCATGCATTTATTGTACCACTGCATCCAGACACCAGTCCAGGATCCACACGACCCGTCCTAACTCAGATGTTATAGAGAAATGCAACATACTGATGGCACCTTGTCTCCAAACTCCTAATGTCCATATCCAGTGGCTTCAAGGAGATATTAAATAGCATAGTAGGCGATAGAATAGTGCCCTGCAGCACCCCATAGCATAACCTCCAGGGGGTCAAAAAGCACTCTTCCACTACTATGCTCTTGACTCAATCCTGTAGGTAGGACCAGAACCACCGTGAAACAGTGTCCCAATTTCCCTTTCCACACAGCTGGTTCAGGGGATGAGCCACAAAGAGATGCAGTACTTCTATTACCTTAAGGAGGGGTTTTGACCCAGGACCAGTTTCCTTAAGTCTGATATATACAGTGGCAGGACAGGGAAAAAGCTTCCTCTCTAAAGCCTTTCTCCCTGCAGTGAATCAGAGACATAACAAAATTATACCAGAATACCAATAGGAAAGCCTGAAGGCAGTCCTCTCTTTGATATTTCTAATGCTGCAGATGATTGTGTAAAGATCTTTCCATTCCAAGCACAGAGACACCATGGCGTAGGTTGCTTTAGGAGATGTGAATTAGTAAAAGTCCCCACAGTATTCCTTTTACACCATCACATAACAGTTGTGTACCTATCCTCTTTCAGACCGTGGCTACTTTGCGGGTGAGGTTTCATTGCATATTGACAAACGCAGATTGTGAAATTAAACTGGATTTAGCACTCGTGCACATCAAACCTTCATGGACTTTTGGGTGTGAGGGAAGTGATGGGGAAATGCACAGGAAAGTGTGTGATAACAATTTATTGATGTGATATCATATAACCTGCCTGCAAATGCATTGGAATGAATGTTCAACAAACAATACTTTGTATAACCTCCCTGCAAACTTTTTGCAAACAAATAATGTTCAATAAACATGTTGACTGGAAGCAATCTTGCTTGCATATATGCTCTTTTGATTGGATATTGTGTTTGGCATAGTAATCTTTTGAACTGCTTGGCTTTTTGGCCTTACTTTATAAACCCTCTGATGCACCACGGCATTTCCTCTCTTTGTGCTCCTTCCCAGAGATCATTCCTCCTCTGGTCACTGCTATGGATGCATGGCCTGATTGCCTGTCTCCAGGCACTGTGATCATATGCATCTCTGTGACATGGAATTGGTCTGCCATCAAATTCAGTGGTTTACTCCTAGGTAAATGGTTATAGCCTTAATGTTTGCAATGGTGTGCACAAATGCAATCTATGGCAATGGTGTAAGGTTCATGTGATTGATTCCTCATAGGTAGAATAGATCTCAAATTCTTTCTCAGAAATAATTCAGGTATACTTTCTCAATACTTGATGTTTCCTCTTTTGTCCTAACTCCATTCACTTGCCTATATTTTCAACATTTGGAGGTTTGACTGTGAGTGAAAAATTTGGCAACCCAACAGCATTTCAGTGGTTACTGCGTAGAAATATGTAGAATAGTTTACACTGGTTTATATTTAACATTGGATTGGCTCCAGGTTCAGTCATGATGACTAACTTGGGTTCCATGGATTTCAACCACCTACTCAAGCATGACTAAGTCTGGATCCAACCCACTAGGCTTGAAGATTGGAGTATATGTATAGCGAAGGGCTCAGGAATCAGTTGCTGGATTCCCATCAGCCCTAGCCAGCATAGTCCATGCTCAGGGATGGGTTAAACATCTGGAAGGTCTCAGGTTCCCCATTGGGGTAGTCTGAAGTACTGTAATTTGAAATTTGAAACTTGATGGTCTTACAAGGGAGGGTCTCCCTCTTTAGATGGAAATGTATATGGTTTCACTTATTTCCCAATGTTGTAAGCCAACTCTCATACTGCTAATTCTGCTGAGTGGGCTTTGCCCCAAAGCCCTGCCCTGAGCACGCCATTTTGGAACACAAAGTAAATTAATGTCCTAGAAACAATTCCTCTTGTTGCTAACAGCTTGATTCTCCTGTGCTGTTGTATTTTCTGCCTGTTATTTTCCCATTTCCTCTTTTGCTGCCTTTTTTTAGTGCCTCGGAGTTGCAGAGGGCCAAAGCACTATGGGGGAGCTCAGCTGTCAGAGAGGGTGGGTGGGGGAGGTGGAGGGAATGATTTTCCAGTGCGAGTGAACTGCACAGCACGAAAGGCTGGATTTATTACCACACACGGAACCTGTCTATTGCCTTTAAGCTTGTTCATTTTTATTTATGATCAAACTGCACCATTCATTTTCCAAGGGGGGTTTCGCCAAGAGAGCAAGTTCTCTAACTTCTCTCGTGGATGCCGCAGCTGAGGCTCTGGCGTGTTGCACTAAATGAGAAAGTTAATGAGAGGCTTTGGTGTCCCGTGTGAGATTTGAGTTTCACAAACACACCCTTTTCTCCTCTAGCTAAAACAGCTTCCTGCCAGGAACACAAATCCTGAGCAGACTCCTCAGCAAACAAAGCAGCTGTGGGGAAGAGGAAATGCACTCATGCTTTCCTCTGGGGGCACCTAAAAGAATGACAAAAAATGAGACAGAGAGAGATGAAATGAGGAGTGAGGAATGGGCACCAGAAACCACAAACACTGTCCGCCTCCAAACTTTGTGGGGGGAATCATCTCCCCCAATGTGTATATATATATACATAGCTAACTGTAGTGATAAAGTCATTTTCCTACTTGCAAACTGAGCTGTTTCTAATTGGTTTGGGGTCCCCTCTGAAAACAGATGGGAAAAGAACAGGCAACATAAATTTGTTGCACTAACATTATGTAAGTGTTTTAAAAGTTCAGGCGCAATAGTCCCATGTCTTCAAACCTATGGGTTCAGAATAAGGGTGAAGCTACTCAAATTAAGTGATGATGCTTTTATTCTGAAGGGATAGTGGTTAGTGTTGGACTCTGGCTCCAATGTGTTCCCACCACGGGATTTTGAATCTGTGTACACATGATGTTACCCACAATGCAGAGCTAATCTGTACTACCTTGGGAAATACTGCTGTTCAATGTGTTTTTCCCTCAACTAGCTTCAGCCAGAAAGGAAAATTTAAGCTGCATTACATTTGAGACAGCTATTGCACATGTGTGGATGATAGTGCATGTGTAGATGAAAGCTTAATGAACTGGAGTTCAAGGGCATTACAGGTGCGGAGAAACCAAACAGACAATGCAAGTTGGATGCAGACATCTCTGCCCGTATTAGGGGCGTCATATTTCAAAAAGTGAGTTGTTGTTTTTTTAAAAAAATCTCCAAAACAGATATTTAAGCCGCTTTTCAAAAATTCCGCCCATACGGGACAAGGATAACTGTGACTTTAAAGATGAATGGGAACCCTTTACAAAGTATTTGAAGACACAACAAAGCGAACTGGACTCCTTGGCTGGTTTTGAATAAACATTCACAAACTTTTTATTGATAATAATCAGCTAAATAGTTTGAGGATCTATACAACGGTGTAACATGAAGAAAACAGCATTTTTAGAGAAATCAAAGACTGGAACTGAGGAAAGTCGGGGGTGGGGGGGTTCTGTGGGGGGAGGGAGGGGGAGGGAGGAAAAATGGAGGGGATAAGGATGATATGTTTCTGGATAATATGTTTTGTTTTAATTTTGAATAAAAAGTTATTAAAAAAACAACAAAAACAAACAAAAACAAAAAATCCGCCCAGACAAATCCCAGCTATGTCTGACTTATGGCAGCCCTAAATGGTGTACAGCAGTGTATAGCAATGTACAAATGCAACTTGAAATGCAGCAGGGTGCAATGGGTACATAGCTAATGGGTACATAGCCTAAGACCTGAGGTTCAGATCTTCAGTCAGCCATGAAGCTCACTGGGTGACCTTAGGCCAATCACTATCCCTCAGCCTAACATACCTACCTGAGTTGTTGGGTGGGAGGATAAAATGGGTGAAATGTCTCTGATTGCGCCCCATCTTTTCTTCTGGAAAGCTGTACCTGTAAATATGCCATCTTTTTTTCTGGAAAAGGAAGGCTTCTCTGGGTGCGTGTGCAGCCATTAGCATTCCTCTGCTAATCCTTGTGGGCTGTTTGTTATTGGATTTATGCTTGTCGGCTGTTTTTCCCCCCTTTCAAAATAAAATAACCAAGTTAAGCAGCCGTGTGCTTAATGTAATGTGTAGTTTGATCAGAACAGATAAGCAATAGGTTATTCATACTGATAAAAAAGACTGAAGAAGTTAAAAAGTCTGGACCTGGTGTTGACTAAGCTGAAGTCTGTTTGCTGTTGTCCACAGGGCAAGGTTAGTTCAAATGTTATATGGTCTCTGTCACTGGAACTGTGAAAGAAAAGGCCACTTTTAGAAGCCTATTTGCAACCTTCTCCTTAAGTGAGGAGAGGACAATCTTCCCAGGTGGTTCCTTCTGCGTGTTTGCTGAAAGCCTCTGTGACAGGGTGGAGGGTGTATAACCCTAAAATAGTTACAGGAACATGTTCTTAAGCAGAAAAAGAAATATCTGGTGGGAAGGCAAAAGGTAGCAATTTGCAGGGATCAGAAAGAACACCTCCCTCTTCTTTCCCACCTCCAATTATTTTTCTGCAGAGGTAGAGAAGGCACAGCAGGCTGACTGCATCATTTCCTTAGGAAGGGATGCCAAAAGATGTAGGAAAATGGAAGGAGCAGAGGCAAAAGGGGTGTGGGAAACATATTTTTAAAAACTGGGGATAATGCTCCATACTATACAGGGATGACATTTCTTTCAATTTTTAAACTCGGGCTTCATGGAGAGAGATCTGGAAGAGCATGCTTGAAAACATGTGCAGAGTTCACCTCCCTCAACGTAACTTGTCTCCCCTCATAATTGTAATCAGAAATCCAAGCTTAAGAGCAAAGTGTTACTCTCAAGAATGCCCCTGAACTTGAACAAAATATAAACTCTTACTGCTAATAACTTTTTGACTTTAGTTCTTCCAAAGATTTTAACTAGTTGTCCACAAATGTCCAACTGCACTTGCTGCCTTGTCGTCCTCTACTTTTCTCTGACATTTTGGTAAATCCCCTTGCAGACAATACGGGAATGTGTGCTAAACTTTGCACTGTATTCCACCATAATTCCAGAAACGGCTTTAAATTGTGTGAGAGCTCAAGTGTGCAGTAATGTGGAAATCAACAGTCGTGAAAATGGGATAAACTGCTATGCGAATACAGCTGCAGATGATTTGCCTTATTCCTTTTCAGATTTTAAGCGTCTGAAAGGCGTAACAATAAACAAAAAGAGGCCTGCAAATAGCCTTCGCCTGGAATTCTTTCCCAGCGATCTCCGACGCGTGCGGAGGTTGGCTGTGGTCATCCGAGCCAGGGAAAAGCACGCTCTGCACACGTCCCCGGGCCAGCCGCGCGCCCGGCCGAAGTTGCAGCGCTAAGTCGCGCCCTGAAAGAGAAGCCAGAGCGGCCCGGATTGGCTCCAAATAATTAACGTGGCGCGCAGCTGCAACACTCACCTGAGGGGAAGCCTCAAAAGGACTTGCTGCTTAGCACTGGGGCAGCGAAATAAATAACAAATTGAATGGCGGGATAAACTAGCGCAAGCTCAGAATTTCTGTGCGGAGAAGAGCGCACTGCCCGGGTTCCAGCAACAAACTTCCCCCGCGTTTCTTTCGTGCGCGGCACGTAGGACTTCTTCTCCCCGGAGCTGCTGCTTTGTTTATTTGCATTTCCCTCACAGTTTTGGTTCCTCCGTTTCCGTCCGGCGCTATTCCGCTCTTCTCAAGGAGCGAGCCTACCTTCGTGCGGGCATTTCAAAAAGAAGACTTTCGTGTCGCAGCAGCAGCAGCAGCAGCAGCCACTTAGCGCGCCTGTCCCGTTAGCTTCTCCCTCCCACAAGAGCAAAGCGGCGGCGGCGGCGGCGGCGAGGTCCTCGGAGCGAGCGAGCGAGCAGCCAGCCAGCCAGCCTGGCGGGGGTGCCGCTTTTGGCGCCACTCGCCCTCTAGCGGGAGAAAGGCGGCCTCGTCGGCGGCTGGGCGTGACTTGGCTGCTGGCTGGCTCTCGGCTGCCTGCTCAGCGCCCGCCTGCCTGCCTGCCTGGCTGCCGGGGGGAGCGCGAGTCAGTGCGGGGACTGGAGCGAGGAGAGAGTTCCTCGCGAAGGCGGCGCGGCGCTCGCGGCTGGGCGGCTGCGGGGCTGGAGCGGCGCAACAGGGAGCGCGCGGGCTGGCGGGAGTTTCCCGGGGGCCGGGAGGGCGCTGCTGACGGGGACGCGACGCTGCTGCTGCTTTTCGGAGCCCCCTCTCAGGCCGGCGGACCCCGCGAGGAAAGGGCCACGGAGGGCGCCCGCGCCAGCCTCCCCAACCCCCCAGGACCGGGGAGGGCCGGAGGGGGGTCTGTCTCGAGGAAATATGGGGAAAGTTGAAACTTGCCTCCTGACTTTGGCTGGACTTTTGCTGGCAGCGGCAGCCGAGACGTTCACAGGTAAGGCGAACCCCGCGGAGTCCTTTTCAGAATCATAATAATGAACTCTGGGCGACTGCTGGCTCCTGAAGGAGCTTTTTGTGGAGAAAGGTGAAGCGGGACGGGCTGCCTTGGGGAATGGGGAGGTATTTTTCCCCCCTCTTGGCGGGTGTGACCCTTGGAGCTGCTGAGTGGAATTGAGGAGGAAGGGGAGAGAGAGAGAGAGAGAGAGAGAGACGCTTGGAAGGGAGAAGGGGAAGTTCCAGGCGCCGAGGGAGGGATCCCGTTAGTTTGGCTGCCGGGTGCAAAAGTGCAAGACGCGGAGCGAGGCTGCTGCGGAGTCTGGCACGACTCGACGAGCTCCCTCCCTCGAAAGGGAGGCGGGAAATCGCAATTCTGAAAAAAACCACCATTACACTTTAAATATATGTGTGTGTGTGTGCGTGTGTGTGTGTGTGTGTGTGTGTGAAGGGCCGTTGCTTTAAATCCAAACCCAAACAACTTTCTGCAAGTTGGCTGCTCCCGGCCAGCAGTTGCAAATGTCCGGGCTTCTCTCCCTTCCCAGCCAGGGACGCTCCGTCTAGGCGAGGCGGGCGGGCTGCTGGCCGCTTTCTGAGCCGAGCTGGTGGAGCCCACGGTCTCTCGTGCTGGGTGGCGAGAGAAGTTGGCCAAGAGAAAGCTGCCCAGAATCCCTTGCGCGGACCCCTCTCTCCAGTCCGACTAGCCACCCAGTTTGTGTAGTGCAAGTCCTCGCCGGACTACTGTGGGGCGGAGGCGACCTTGGTGCCTTGAGTGCTGTGTGACTGACAGCCCATTTGGTCTGGCGTCCAGGTGTGGCAGGGGGACGCAGGGGTCCCGAGCTTTTAAGAGTAGTTGTTGTGAGGAAGTGTTTTCCAGTACTGGTCAAGTTGTGTCAAGCTTTGGGCGAAGCAGTGCCCTGTGCTGTGATTCCTTCATTTCTCCCCACTTTGTAGCAGCGAAGTGATAATCAAAGAGTAACTTTTTAATTCTACCTGGCAGGCATTTACTGCCTCAGCATCCTCACTGCTTGGGCTCTCCTCCTCTGGATACCCTCCAGTGTGCGTAACATGTTTTAATGGTGCGTGTGAGGCATACAACCCTCTAATTTTGGTCTGTAGCTGGATTACGAAACAGTTAGTTCCACAGAGTTGGATGGGATGAGTAACTTGGGCTCATTTTGTTTGTTTTTCATATGAACTCTAGAAACCTATGACAGAAATTGAAGACATCTGGGTTCCATGTTCTTCTACGTGCTTTGATCAGGAAGAGAAGTAGGACTCTGGTTGTTGCCTTGGCTGCAGGGTACTTGGTGTTTCGTGCATTAAGTAGTGCTTGTGTACAGCACCCTTGTGTAACTTAAGTTTTGGATTTTAAGAAATCCACTCTTCATGGCTTCTGTAAACACATTCTGGTTTAAAGGAATGTTCCAGGGACGCTGTGTGTATAAAAGCAGCCTGTGTTTTCTCAAAAGTTCCCTTCTACATTTCTAGATAAGTCAGAAGGTTCATTGCGAGAGAGGCGTTCCAGAGGTTTCCCCTGGTATGAAATATAATTCTGAAGAAAAACTCTCCCCCGTCCCTTCTCTGGTTTCAATGAGGCTATTTGTAGCTGAGCTGTGAATCATGAAACTTTACTCGCAGTTAGCTCTCACTTTATTTGGATAAAGCCATACCTCAGCTTAGCTGCATAATTTGCAGCATAACTTGTCAAAATATTGGAAGAAATGAGCATTTTATGTGGGGCTGCATGCGCAGAAGTGTGTGCTTGCCTTGCTTAGAAACAATACTATCTCAACACCACTTCTATAATACTTGATGCTTCTATTAGCCTACCAAAGTTACCACTGGGTTGCAAAAAAGAAAAACGAGTTTCCTGTTCCAGTCAATAAGCTTCAGACCAGTTTTCATTTATAAGTATTGGAAACTTGTATGCCAAAAAGCCTGTTGTGCCTATGTGGGTAAATGTCTACATGTGTAACGGTAGGTATTACAGACACCACTATTATTTGGAGCATAGAGTATGGGCAACTGCAGAAATTATTGAAAAATGTCAAGAGAACAGATGAGCTTTTCTTATTATTTTTTAATGCAGTACACCAGAGATGGAGAACCTATGGCCTTCTATACACTCCTGGGCTACCATCCTAACCATTGGCCATGCTGACTAGGGCTAATGAGATTCCCTATAACACCTGGTGGGCCACAGGTTTCCCTATCCTTGCTATATACTGAATCTGCATGTATCAAAAGTTTTTCAGTGTTACGTTCAGCCAGTCCCTACTAGAGAGTCTTTCTTAGGAAGTAATCATTAGGAAATCAGCAAGAGCAAAAGTTACAGTAAATATTTATATTGCTGTTGGGTTTGCTGTTGTTGCAAAAGTTTTCAAGACATTATTGGAAAGAGAAGTTAACTGTTAACAAAAAGCGTTGAGTTTTCCTGTGACATTCTTACAAGTTTGAAATTGTAAATATACACCTTAGGTGTACAAATTCCCCAAAGATAATAAACAGTAATGATAGTTTATAGTTGAAAAAGCAATTGTTTCTTGGATTGTATCAAAAATGTTGTGATTCTTGTCTAAGATCATGTCATTTTGTAAAAACGAATGATTATTCTGAGGCTTATGTCCTCATCCTAAGCATATACTGTAAAAGTAAATCCCTTTACTGCAGTAGACTTCAACACTAGTCCCATACACACTTGATTGGCAGCAAGCTCTATTGAACACAGTTCAGCTTACTTCTGAATAAACCTGCATAGGAATGCACTGTAAGTGTGCCTGGAATCTCCACATAGTTAATAGGTTTTGCCTGTATATTTAATTTCAACACATTTAATGCTTTCAATTGAAATATGGTTGTAGACAACGTTTAAATATACAGAATGCTACTTTTTTACCAGCATTGATTTTAGATTTATTTATTTTGTCAGTGCCAGGCAAAACAAACTATTTTTGAAAATGCTTTTGTTCAAATAGAAATAGGATACAAGAGATGTCAGTAACAGCATAATCTTAAATTTTATGTTTTGTATAAAATGAAAAGTCTGTGTGTATGTGTATGAGTTCATATCAATTGCAATGGAAGATCAATAGAGGTGTAATGGAATTTGAAAAATATGCATTTTTATAACCGCCTTATTTTTTTGAAGCAGTTACATATTCAAAAAGCCTGCAGAAAGTTGGTGCTTTTTGTTTATAACATAATATTGTCCCAGAGAGGCCTATTGTTAACCTGTACAGCTATTTCTTGTATAAAGTGGTGGCAGAAAACTTGTATACCAGCTAATACTGCAAGCCTAAAACCAAGTATTCACAACGGTTAGGATTTCAACCTAATATTTTAACTTTGGATTTTCATGAAGCTTTGTTGTGTTTGCTGGCACAGCACCTGAACTTTGAATGCTTATATCTGCTGTCAGTAATGCGTTTATGGGCTTCTTGTAACATATAGCATTATGTAAAGGAAATGATGTGATATAAAAAGTATTGGGAAAACTATTAACTTTTACAGCCCACCTGTACAACTTCATTTTCTTACAATATGTATTCATTTGAGAGTGGGGGACGGGGGACAAGAAAGTGACCAAGACTGCAAAGAAATTGCTCCCTTATAAAATTACATATTTTAAATGCTATATTAGAATTTAAAAGTTAGTTCTAGTGCCAATATTAAATATATTGGGAGCTTCCTTACATAGATGCAGTCAAAGCAAAACTGTGTCTATTAATCAGTTTTTCATTAAAGTACATATATTTTTAACTGGTTCATAATTTGTTAATTCAGTGCAGTGTTGTTTACAAACATTCTGAAGTCTATGTTGCAGTCCTGTGTTTTTAAACACAATAGTGTGAGACAAAGACCTTGTTGTGGGTGCAAAATTGCAGACGAGAGAAATAAAGGCTGGTTCACAAGTCTTATGGTTACTTTCTGGGCATGGGAATATAATTGGAATTTTCCATATAAACTCGAACTTTAGTGTGTCATTCTCACTACAGCGCACTGGGGTGTTGAACGTTTTGATAGAGCTGCATACATGACCACACAAACAGCACATGCAGAGCCCAAACATGGAGCATACGGATTGTGACTTTGCACATTAGACTTCAGGCATGTAGATCTCTATACAAATGCAATGTCCACATGCTGCATGGACATCAGGCGTTGCAGGGGGAGGGTGGAACTGGTACGCTGAGAGAATTGGGCCAACTAATTTGTCTCCAATCCCTATTCTGCGCAGAGAATAACTGCCTGCATAAGAGCTATTCATTCATATATGCCACTTGATTTCTGTGCATTTGGCTAATAATGTACATTTGATGTCTCACAGCTGAATGTGTAAACTTCAACACATGAAAGTCCAGGTTAGTGGTTGTAGGGGGTTGAGCATCACTGTGTGTGTGCTTACC